GAAGGGAAGGGAAGGATGAAGGGAAGGGAAGGATGAAGTGAAGGGAAGGATGAAGGGAAGGGAAGGATGAAGGGAAGGGAAGGATGAAGGGAAGGGAAGGATGAAGGGAAGGGAAGGATGAAGGGAAGGGAAGGATGAAGGGAAGGGAAGGATGGAGGAAAGGGAAGGAGGGAGGGAGGGAAGGAAGGACGGAGGGAAGGAGGGAAGGAGGGAAGGAGGGATGGAGGGAGGGAGGGAGGGAAGGAAGGAAGGAAGGAAGGGAGGGAGGGATAGATAGATAGATAGATAGACAAACAGACAGACAGACAGACAGACAGACAAACAAACAAACAAACAAATACATATTTATATATATAACTTCAGACATGCAGGTCGATATAGTATGATATAGTGCTGTTAGCAGGAGGATTCAGGCAAAAGGAGTTTGACGGAGCTTGTTCATCTGACACTGACTCCAGGATTGATTGATGGATGAGTCAGAGAAGGACGTGTTATATCCTTGTGCCTGGATTTCACCGAGGGGCACAAAGCTCCTTCCAATCATGACCAAAACCAGCTGACGCAGCGCCGGTGTAGTCAGTGCCCACATCCATTCGCCTGCGGTCCTCACCACGACCAGTCCGTCGGGAGGTCCGGTCTCCTGGATGCCAGCTCCCTTAAGTGCAAATTGATCAACAGGATGCCCGGATTAAGTGCAAGCGCCCGTGACAGATTCTTTGCACTTCCGGGCCATGTTCGCTGAGTTTTGATCATGATCGCGTCATGATTCGACTGGCGCGTCTCTATTTTTTTTCAGTCACATTGACAACATCAACGGACATTCTGTGAGAGTCCATTTAAGCCCATGAGAACAACCTAAAAAGAGCTCCAAGAATCGGTGACCGACCTATTCTCACTTCTCGCGTTTTCGCACCAAACACCGCACCACACGGTGACTCGTTGGTTCTGACTGGAGGGTGCTTTCGGATGACTCGGTAGGTCCAGACCGAACCTGAACCCCAGCCGAGCGGCATCTCCACCCATGCCTTGAAACATGGCTTTCTCGGTGGCCACCTGGCACGAAAGATCCATGACTCGAACAATGATTTTGTTCAATGTGTTTTCTCGTTCTTTGTGTTGTTCATTTGCCAAAAAGGACATGTGTTCGTTTGTTTTCTCGTTTGTTGCATTTTGTATGTTTTTGGTGTTCATGTCGTTTTGGGCAGGTCTTGCTGAAATTTTGGAGTGGCTCCCCCATTCGCCGGTAAGAAGGACAACGTGCTCATGTCCTGGCTTGTGAAGACACAATTGGATACTTATCGCGGACTTGCAAACAGAAAGTTCAATGTGCTCATGTTTCCAGGAAGCCACCAAAGCCTAAACCGTGACAAATCGAACATCAACGGCAACCTCTTGGGGATAGAGTGGACTCGTGTATTCGGAGAGAACGTCACCTACTGACTGGCACAAAGGATGTTTGCAAGGCTTTGCAGCAGGATTACTGGCAGGATCCAGAAATCATGGTTCTGCAGGGCAGGCTGATTTTGGACCGAAAACACGGTGCCCTGACAAGTCATATGGAACAAGATTTCCGCTTTCAGCGGCTGCGCAGCCAGCTCCACCATAGGCTGGCGCGGCTGGGGAAACAACAATGACCTTCGAAATTCCAACAAACATTACCTCATCTTTGAATTTGACCGACATCTTATGAATTCCCTTCTAGCTTAGCACGCAGGAAGACCCGAGAACGACTTGAGGAAGAAATCTTCGAGACAGGAGGACCCGAACTTGGACTTCTCGGAGCTTGTTGTTGCTTTTACTTCGCACACCTCAGACCATCCATGTATTGTGACCCCTGACCCTCCACCCAAAAAGAGTAGGTCGCTCATGGTCGGCCAGTCTGTTGGATCGTCTGGATATCCACTCTGGGTCGGATTCGAGTGAGTTTCTCCGCTTCTCCGGTCAGCATGGTTTCACTATAACTGAAGACAGCATCCAAAGCAAACCAATATGTGTTGTGGGTTGCTCTTGGCTTCGAAATAGAAAGCACCATCCCATAGAAAGCTTTTCAGAGATCACAACGGGGTTTTCAGCCTCGCCTGGAAGTCTTGCTCATACTTCAGTCGCTCTGACTCAGTAGTGAGCTTGCCTCAGGGCCACGTGGCTACACGTGATACATCGTGAGGGATGTTCCAAACTCAAAGTCAACCAAAGTCCTGGGTACCCACTCAAATCCTGGATGACAAAGCCCAAATCCTGGTCAAATCGGGTCAATCATTACAACCGAACGAGGTGCATGCTGACAACCATGAAACTTCTGCGGATGTGCTGGGTTGACCAATGCCCCACAGGGTCAAAAGAGGGCATAGGAACATGTGTGCTGGACAATCAATCAAGACACCTGCTGCGGGAAACCCTCCCACCCACCCAGTAAAGGGAATATTGCCACCATTTCTCGGACTGCACTTCTCTCAGCCTTCAAGTTATACCTTCTAAAGTTTAAATAGTCAACAACCATTAACTATCCCAATCAGATCCACAACTCAACTAGATTCTGCCTACGAGTCCTGTTCTATGCCTAGGATCCCTTCCTATTCCCTTCTATCCCTCCTCTATACACTACTGTAAATATACTCAGTGCAATCTCACCCTATTAGCGATCCACATCGCCAAAAGGCGTTGCGCCAAGCATGTCTCGGCAGCTCGCAGGACGCTCAAGTGGAGCCAGGCACAAAGCTCTCGGCTGGGCAGCCGCGTGCGCCGCAGTAACTCCAACCACTCCTGGATCGCAAAGGCTTCTCTTCTGAAGCAAGCGCTGTATGAATGAAAGTAGGCTTCCCTCTTTCACCAAGGTGGAAGGGCCATTGCCATTGTGCACCGTGAGACTGGTCAAGCCATCCCAAACACACCATCCCAAACACGATTCGCTTTCATCGTCGCTATAGTCATTGGGATGTCTGTGCGAAAGACGATGTGCCCAAAGGAGTTTGGGTCGAAAAATTTGTTCTTTGTCCGGTTCCCCCACCTCGCAAATCAGCTTGTAGAGGTGCTCCGCAGCCCTCCTGGCTTCGGCAGCGACGAAGCGGCAAAGACGTGCGGCTGGCTGGCTGGGTGGCAAGTGGTGGTCCAAGCGAGCAGCGCACAAAGCTGTGCATAGGCGTGCACAGCTTAACTTGGAACGGAAATTAAACTACTTTACTGAGCTGCCCTGCCTCTTGCTGGACCTAGTGTGTGAGGTTTTACACCATATCAGTTATGCCTGTCAACCAGGCTCTCAAGAGAAACTAGTCCTGATCCTTACTATATTTGCAAAAAACATTGTTCTGGTCAAGGAACACTATCGAAGCAAATACTCGGCAGCTGCCAACTCGTTCTAAAAGATCTTCACTCCACAAAACCAGGGCCATTCAAGGCCGCCTCCCACCCAAAAATGAACATGTCCGACAGTGGGCGATAAAGTATGATAAAGTTCAGATCTGAAGTCGCGTTGAAGAAAACAATCCTCCACCCCGTTCATGATTTCTGAGAGTTCCATACACTGACAGTGCTGTCTTTTTCATCCCTTGCAACTCACCTCTCCGGATGAGAGCGGCCTTGGGTTGGCACCGGAGTTGGGTTCGATGACCTCGGCTGCGATGCCGTACTGGTCGCCTCCCAAGCTGACCTCATCAAAGAAGGAAGAGCGACGGTCGCGTGGGGATGGAGATAGCTTGAAGAAAGCACACAAATTAGATAGAATTAATATATAACATAACTAATATACACCTATAATATGACTAACAACTAAGACTAATAATGTATATGTATATTAAATGTGATTGACACAAAGGTAGCAACAAAAGATCCTCCTTCCCTCGCACAGCCGCGTGCGTTTTCCACTCACAGCTCACCTGAAGGTTGGTACGAACGGTCGGGCGCCTCGCCCTGCAGTGTCCTCACTGCTTCTATGGCTCAGGTCGCGGGTGACCCACCCTACACCACCCTTGCGGCCTCGCACACTCGTGGCTTCGGACGTGAACACACCTGAGTGGGTCAAGACTGGTTCCTCAGTGACCGAAAGGTTCGAAATTCACACTCATCAAAAATTCTATCAATCTTTTTCTTTGGTTGTACGTCGATCATCCTTCTTGCTGCTGGTCTCCCATTAGAGGGATCCCAGACTCAAGCCACCTAAGGCGTGTTCTGCTGTCAGCTCGCTCTTTCAGCACTTGCAGTTCGTCATTTAGTTGATACATGCCTCGTTGCAAAGTGTATCGGAGGAAAGTTCCTTGCATCACCTTAGTTAGTGCATCAGCGAGCTGAGCTCCTGTATGAACCCATCTTAATTGAATGCCTTCGGATAGCAAATCTTTTATTGCCTTTGCTTGAAGTTGTGTACGGAATTCCTGGCAATTTGGTTGAGCAGTTCGGGTAACCAAATCATACAAAGATTTGCAATCTGTGACAGCTACTGATCGTGGCAAACACTGGGCTAAGGCTGTCGTAGATTGGATTGGTTTGGGCTCACTCTTAAAAACCTCATGTGGTCGTTTCCAATTGACTTGGGGATTTTGGATCCATGCCCAATAGAGTCTCATCCAAGATAGCTGGTCTAAGCTTGTTTGGAGCGAAGTTGTTTCGGCTGACAAAGTACTCGTAACTACTTTCTGGATCTTGCGGCAACCCCAGGACAACGGGCTGACTGGGCATTGATAGTTCTCACTTATATCCCTATGGGTGGCCAAGATGATCATGCCTGTGTGACTTTCTGGGCTCTTGGCCGACGCAAATGATGCGTCCGAGAATAACAAGAATCTGAGATCCTTGATTGGGATGGGTTGGATTCTGATGCATGTGTCTTTGTATCGTTCTGCTTCATGAAGTACACGGTTGGCATCGTGCAACGTTTGGACCGTGGCTTTGTTGATCTCACTTTGGATGTAGCTTAGTCGACTTGAAAGATCCGGTCTCGTGTTGATGCTCGCGTACTGAAGACTTCCCACAAGTGCACGGAGCGAGTGTCTCTCTTCGGAGGTCACTTCATCCGTCAGACATGTTCGTCTGCTTGCATTCATGTGGATTGGCTCAATCTTGCTTACATACTTGGATTGGGACATGATGATACTTTTGTCTGCCTGTTGGTTCATCTCAACACCAGTGAACGTGAATTGACCTACTTTCTTTGATCCAAATGGGAATTTGGCTTCTAGCTTTGAGATTTGTTCTTCAAAGTATTGATCTCCTCCACCTAGTCCATCGTCAACATGAACTCCTAGGACCCCCGAAATTTTGCTTTGTCCTGGTTTGTATAGTACGTATGCGCATGGGTCGAAGGGTGCTGGAATGAAGTTCAAATCACGAAGGGTCCGATCCAATTCCTTATGCCACAAATAAGGAGCATCGATCAAACCGTAGGCTGATTTTTCGAGTTTGCAGATTTGATTGGGTTGAAGTTTCAATGCCTTTCGAAGTTCTTCAACAGGTTCCAGGCCTAGAACTCGATCTTCCTGCGTTTTGCCTTGCAAAAATGCAGCTTTGATATCGAAGCTTTTCAGAGTCCATCCCATGGATGATATTGCTTGCAACAAGAGCATTTTGGATTGCTTCCCAGGTGTCGGCGAGTCCCGGGGTATGCTGTCTAACTGGGGATCTTGATATCCAAGGACTACTAGACGTGCTTTCGGTTTATGGGTCTTTGGTCCTGGTCTGACGTTCTCAGTTGATCCGGTTTGAAGGTCGTCAGCATCAAGGGGTTTCCATACGCATATCCAGCGGCAACGCATTACCTGTTCCGGACACAGCTGATCCCGAAAGATTTTACTCACCGTCCCTGTGTTTAACCAATTTGTGATCTCCTTTTCCTTTGCTTGACGGAAGAGAGCTTGTTCTTCGGTGGACAATTGGTGCATCTTTACTTCTGTTCGGTCACGCTTGGTGGTGGTAGTCATCATGATAAGATCTGTTGCTGGTGAGTTTTCATCCCATTTCATCATTGTTTCTTGGGGAAACAGGAATTCAGCTTTCCATCCTACGGCTTCTGAGTCTATTTGGGCTTGGCATACACTTAGTAGGGAGTCACATACGAGTTCATCACTGAGATCGGATGCTTCGCTTGGGACCGGCACACTTGCTGCATCCTGATGACCGCCGGGGTCACTCGGCAATTCGATGCTTTGTCGGCTCGCTGGAGACACTTGACTCTCTGGAATCGAGGGCTCTTGATCTGGCTGGACCTCTGACGAATTCGATGTGTTTCCTGTTCCTACGTGTTGTGGGATTATATTGCTATCTTCTTGGCTCTCTGGTGGAGTTGCGGCCGCTTGTTCACGAATGTTGGCATTTTGTGTATCTTCGCCTTCAATCCCTGCGATCGGACTTAGAGCTCGGGGGATATGCTGGGCTTCCATGGCACTTACGGGTCGAACATGTTCAGGGGCTATCTTTACCAAGCTTCCTGCGTGATTACACCAAAGACAATGGGGACCTTCTTGTTGGATGACTCTGGCTGGACCAAACCACCCCCGTTGGGTTGGAGTCTGTCTCCATAGCATCACCCAAGTTCCCCTGTCATAGGATCCTCGGTGAGGACAGCTTCGCCGGAGAACAGCTCTTCGCAACGCAGAGCTGTTGTCTGCACAGTGAAAAGCTCGTCGCGCAGCTTCGCGGTATGCTAGCTTTTCTCGAAATCTGATTCCTTCCTGGGTGTCATCGTCTGCCAGGAGGTGCGATGGCAATTGCTCGTCCGATGAGATTGATGCTGGAATTCTGGACCCTTTTCCAAAAACAAGAGTTTCTGGGGAGTATCCCTGTTTCTGGCTCAGTGCATTCTTGGCAGAAGTGCAGTGCGATAGCGCTGTCTGCAGGTTGGTGTATGACGTTATTGGATGTTCCTGTTCATACTTCTTGAGCATTTCCTGTAGGATTCCACCATGTCTTTCGACTTTTCCGATTTGCCAGTGTGCACCTGGTGGGGTAACTATTGCTTTGATGTTGAACTGGCCTAGAAAAGTGAGAAATTCCTTGGATGTGAATTCCGTCCCTGAGTCTGCGTGAATCTCAATCGGAGCCCCTGCCCATTGGAGCCATCCATTGAGCACCTTGTCTATTGCATCATCACTGCTTTTACCTGGGCTTGCACATGCTACCTGGTAGTTTGTTCCGTAGTCGATGATGTGATAGAAGTGGAAGTTTGTTCCTGCCAGATTCGTGTATACAACACCATCTATCCCAATACAGTCGTTGAAGTCTAGCTCACGTTTGATTGTAGAAGGTCTTTGATGTTTGGGTTCCTTAGTATTCTGGCATACGGAACAACTTAGGTCCATGGCAGCTTGACACAATCGGGGTGAGTACCCCTGTTGACGCAGCATTGAACACAGGTTTTGACCATGAGGGTGTCCTAGGTTCTGATGCAATTTCAGCAAGAACGATTTTTCTTCGGCTGATATGGTGTTGAACTTTGGGCCATGGTCAAAGCTCGGCATATGGAGTTGACTCGAACTCGCTCCTGTCACTTTGGTCTGATCCGGATCCAGCTCTGTGACAGGTGCTTGGTCACTGCTTGGCAGGCTGACGGTTGCCTCCTGCGGCTCGATGCTTGTTCCCGTTGCCTCGGGACTCATATTCTGTTCGGTCGAATCACCTGATGCTTCTGACTTGGATTGGGGCAAACATGCATACATTGTGATATTGACTCTTGCGGGATGTGCTGGGCGGACTTGCTGCCGATGAGACAGGTCTTGCCAGTATTCCCAGTCCTTTTCTACTTGGATTACCCCCCCTATTCGGCTTACGATGATGGCACGACGATATGGGGCCTCATTCTTTACCAAATCCCTTGGTGGTGGCAATGTTCGATCTGACCCCTTACATGCTTGAACTTTCTTGATTTCTTTTTCGGGGAACATGTTTTGAAGCCTCTCCAAGATTTGGTGGTTTGTGATAAAAGTCTTCCCTACTCTTGGCAACATTGGTTGGATGTCCTTGATGATTTCTTCTAGTTGTCTCTGAGGTGACATGTTCATACTCTGCGATTCGGCCGTCTTGCCGTCAATGCGGCGGCGCTTGCACTCGTTCGACAGTTGCTCCAGGGGTGTTGGTGGCAGTCGCACACCTTGGGACTTCTGCATGGGAGAACTCACACGGATCCGCTTGGATGCACTTTCCTCACTCGGTTGATCTATTCCTCTGGTTACAAGGGCAGTAACCCATGGCTATGTTTCACTTTCAACATCACCTTAGCTACTTGTCTTGCAAACTTTCTTGCATAGTTCTCTGTATAGCTACTGACGGTGATTCTCCCGAGAGGCGTTGTCACGGATCCGGCAATGGGTCTGTGCTCATGATCTCGACGACACACCCGGCCATGCAACGAGGCATACATCTCTTGCGATGTCGTTCTTACAGCCATCTCCTTTTGTATGAGTTTGTTCGTTTCTGGACATGTCAACTGGCCTACGCGACACATGTCGAAATTGGCTTCCTGAGTATATGAATACAGCTCTTGCAGGAGTGGGGTCTTGAACATGATGGATTTTCGTGGCTGCTCCCAGTGCATGTGGTTTCCTAGCTGACGTGACATGCGAAGCAAGACTACTCCTAGTGCAAGTTCGAACAAGTGTGACTCTCTCTCTCGTTGAACATGTTCACACAATTGGATTGATCTCATTTCATTGAACGTGTTCCATGCGCTCCATGGTCCACAGGTGGGACTGAACCATATGTAACGGGGTCTTTGTTTCCACACCATTTGAAACAGAACACTTCTCCCCTCCTTGGTTTTGAGGTCCCCCTGCGCCCTTCCAAAACGGTTGGCTCTGCCGCCCAGCAATTGGACTTGCTTCGTCAGTTCACTGGCCTCATGACAAAACACTTCCAGCAAATGTAGACGGCTGCATCCGTTCGAGATCACTGGATCACACCTTGCTAGACTGGCTTCCTTCGAGATTTGCTGAACCAGTGCATGGAATTTATGGGACACACTGTGAGTCTTACCTGGACTGACATCTTTTTGGCACATGGACGATACATGTATATCAGCTTCCTCGAAGGAGTCTAGCCATGACGAGCTCATGAAGCCCGGAGGTGGGCAATGATCTCCTGCATCGCACCTTCGATGGTCTGAAGGCGGGTGTCCATGGCTGCCATCTCCGTGTAGATCTCTGGCTGGATCTCGATCTCCTGAACTGGTTCCCAGGATTCGTCCTCGGCAAGATCTGCCAAGTCCTCTGGGGTCACTTCCTGAATCGGCTTGGCCTTGGCCTTGCTCTTGATAGCCGGATGAAGTGGCCTCTGACTTGGTGATGGCTGCAGGTCTTGACTGTTCAGACCCAGTCGGCGCTCGGCATAGGTCACCCTCAGTGAGATGTAGTGGATGAACTTCTGATGGTTGACCTTGTTCGACGAGCGGTAACTTGCCAGGAACCACTTCACATACTTGCCCTCCCTTTTCCACATCTCCGAGTAGGTCCGACCGAGATGGGCTGATCCGAAATCGATCTTGGCTTGGCCCATTTCGTCCAGTGATAGGAGCTTGAAGGCTTCGAGCTGATCGAGGGCTTCTTCCTTCTTTGCTTCCCCCATGACACGTGCCAAGCGGGCACTCAGAGCGGCTGCTTCGGAGGTCGGCATGATAGTGATGCGGCACAGGTGAACGAATGGGATGGTCACACGTGTGTGATTGCACAGATCCGGTCTTGAACCCAAAACGGATGACACCGGGTTGGACCCCCCCCTGGAACCGATTCGAATGAGACTTTCTCACCCCCGCGAACACTCGGACCCTCGTTTGGTTTCTTTGTGTTCGTATGGGTCTTTGTTGATTCGGGCATGGCGGCTTCGAACTGTTGGATTCTGCTTGTTACAAGACCTGTCCTCACCTGAACGTTCTGTTTCATCATGGTCTTGGTTTCCGACTGCACTTGTCCAGGCTTCTGGACAGAGACACTTGGCAAGCTTTTGCAATTCAAAGTGGCGAAGGTCTCGGCAGGTTCAGCTTCAGCATCTTGACTGGTGGGTGTGATCAGATCATTTAGATCAACTAAAAACAAACCCTTGGCATTCAGCTGAATTGGAATGTTGCGCTTCAAGAGAGTGCTTTTGATCACTTCACCAGCTATATCTACGGTGGCTCCGATGGCTCGGAGCAGAGTATTCGACAGCAGGAAAGGTCAGCGGTCCGATTGGGACAACGAGTGCATGCTTGCTTTCAAGTGTCCCTTGATTCCCAAACCGAAAAACCACTGAACAACGACACCTTTGGACCTGCTTCCGAACCTCTGGCCTTAGTGCGGCTAGGAGATTGGCTACGAAACCGCTTCCTATGACGGTCTTAGTAGCACCTGTATCTACGATTCCCAGGGCATCGCGAGTTGAAAAGCTCGAGAATGCACTGGCTTCGGTGTCATGCATCGACTTGGCTTCAGGTGATTGGGCGGTGCTAGCAAACGCACTCTCTGGCAAGCTAGTCCTGACATCAAAATTCTCACACTCGCTGATCATTTCCCGTTTGTGGGCTAAATCAATGATTTCCCCTTCATTGGTCTCCCACAAACCCCTCAGAACACCGGTGTCCCTTGATTCACAAACAACAAAACTTGTTTCGTATTCTCTTGAGTGGCGTTGAGCGTCTCTTCGGTCAGCTCTGGCAAATCCATGAACTCCAGTGGCAGCGCGTCCTGCTCATCATTCACTGTCACCAGTGTAGGAGCAACAGCTGTCGATGGGACCGACTGAGATCCACGTTGTGGGCATTCAGCCTTCCAATGGCCTTTTCGGCCACAAATCCTGCAGCTGCTCTCCATGATCCTCTGCTGGAGGCTCTTTCTATTGCCAGAAAACTTTGAGGAGTAGGGGGATCGCTTTCCTTTTTCACCCCCTTTCCCTTTTCCTTTGCCTTTGTTCTGACTTGTTGGCCAGAACCCACGGCTTTTGAAGCGCTCTGACAGGCGGCGACGGGCATCCATGTATGATGATTGTGTCAATGCTAGATCTTCGTTGTCTTGCACTGCGTCCAACATTGTGGATTCATACTCCATGATCATGGCGGCGTCCTCGTCACCATCATTTGCAAGACCCTCAATCCATTCTTCCTCGGTCCAATCATCGAGATTGTAGGTGGGCTCGTCGGGTGCTTGGTCGTGACCATCAGCTTCTTGGGCAATGAACGCATTGGCCTCATAGGTTTTGGTCCTTGGATTGTTCTGCTTTCCGCTGGAGTGGACCTCATGGAAGAATCGACTCCCCAGGAGCTTCAGATTGGATACCACCTCTCTGTACTCCAGTGAACCCTGCGATTCAACAATCAGTCTCTTCTTGTCTTCTGAGCTCAGGGCTGAGTTGCGAAGCAAGATGTATGCACGAAACTCATCTATGCCGACCTTCATGCTCAGCAACTCTTCGAATTGATGATCGTGCCGAGCTAGATAGCTCTCATGGGTCTCGTCGGCTCTTTGGACCGTGCTGTATATTGCACGCTCAAAACTTTCAAACTTGTCCTCCAATCGGGATTTTCCCCAAATCCCTCCAAGGGCCTCCACGATGGCCTTCACTCCCTCCAAGTTTCCAACACGCAGCTTCTTTGGGTCCAGTCTGGCAACTCTCTGAAAGGCTGATCCCTCACATTGCAACGCAACTCGTGGGGCAAGCAGGTGTAGTTGTTCTGGAGGCCATAGTGATGCCAGGAACTCTACTTTCCGTGACCATTCAGTGAGGTCCGTCTCACCAGGCTTGAAAGATGGAACCTGGCTCCATGGGAGATTGCTCAAACCTCCTGTCGAGGAACTGGAGCCAGCTGAATCACCTTCCGGTGGCATTGGGCTGTTTCCTCCCTGGAAGCCGCAGCTCAACAACTCTGTGACAACACCACCAAGACAATGTGCAACCTGTCGACTGCCTTGCGGCCAAACAACGTACTCACCGACTCAACCACGCAGTCAACAACAACCAAGCACAAGGGTCAGGTGTTGTCTGGAGCTTTAGCGGACTTTAGCGGTAGCTCCGCTACCAATGTGATTGACACAAAGGTAGCAACAAAAGATCCTCCTTCCCTCGCACAGCCGCGTGCGTTTTCCACTCACAGCTCACCTGAAGGTTGGTACGAACGGTCGGGCGCCTCGCCCTGCAGTGTCCTCACTGCTTCTATGGCTCAGGTCACGGGTGACCCACCCTACACCACCCTTGCGGCCTCGCACACTCGTGGCTTCGGACGTGAACACACCTGAGTGGGTCAAGACTGGTTCCTCAGTGACCGAAAGGTTCGAAATTCACAATTAAACTATACATATTAATATAGTTTATTTGTTATACTATTATAACTGTAATTAATTATATCACCTCTTGACACCACCCCAGGGGTGGAGAAATGAGATGAAATGAGTGAACAAAAACATTGAAAAGCTGAAACTATAGACTGCTATATAACGGTCTCAATGTATTTTTGGTAGCTATATAACCGGTTTCTTTGTAAACCTGTCGGTGAAGTGGTTGTGTTTGGCAACTGAAAGTGCTCAGAAAAGGGTCGGAAACAATTGGCCAGGTGTAAAGAAACAACAGTCCGTGACTTGGGGTATCGAAACAAGCAAGAAAGATTGCTCAAGAAATGCTCAAGTAAGTATGGAAACCTGACCTTCTAGTCATCTAATGTTAGTAGGAGCAAGGACGCTACTAGTAACAAAGGGCACCGCTACTAGTAGCTCCTGGCATTACTACTAGCAACAAGAAGCTACTTGTAGCAATTTATCTGTGTATGTCCTGACTCGTTGGCATCTCCTTCCTCTTCCGCGTTTGCAAACGCCAAAAAGACGCGAAGGTCGCTGGGCTGCCCCGACCCATAAAGCCACATGCAGGACTAAGCGCAAGGATTTCAAGCCGCGCATGTTCAGCTGCCGATTAAACTGGTTCACGATCGTCTCATCCTGGGCTGAGAAAACATGTTTTCAGAAAAAGGGATGTCTTGAAGGGGTCATGGATTTCTATAGCAACCATGGACCAATGGACACTCTGAGACTCCCTCTTTTGCTATAGTGTTCTTTAGAAATTGAATACAGTAACTTTTTACTATGAGAGATGCTTCCACAAAATAGAAGTGACTCCTAGACTCCACAGTACCCTGAGATTCCATGGACTTATAGGTAATAGGTCCCAAACAAGCTACTTACAAATGTCCATTGTTGATACACCTGCAAACTATTGGACAGCTCTTTCCGATTCACTCCTGGCTATTTGTAGATTAGTCTCTTGGGGATCCATTTGCAATTGCGGTTGATTGATAGATGTCCTGCACTAGAGAAAATGAAGACGAGCGGACAAAATACATTGGAGAACCCAATGCGAAATCACACCAATCCAATGTTGCAAATGACACCAATCATCGTTGTTTCAAGCACCTACCAAAACGTATTAGGTCTTAAGTGGTGGATCCCCCTCTTTTTGTGCCTTTCTTGCACCCTCGAACCTCGACCCCCTTTTCCGCCGCACGACTAAGGTCGCGGCCAAGAGGTCGCTCGTGGCCGCGATGAAGCCCGGCTGCGCCTTCCGCGTGAGTGTCTCCTGACGGTCGTGGCGTCGGTTTCGACCGTGCGGGTGCTTTATCTCGTTCCTACTAGCAATAATGCTCCTAATAGCTTCTTGTTACTACTAGTAACAGGTGCCACGCTAGTAGTAACAGGTGCCTTACTAGAAGTAACAAAAGCTATTAGAATTAAAATTGCAGTAAATTTAATAGCTTCTTGTTACTACTAGTAAGGCACTTGTTACTAGAAGCGATGCACTTGTTCCTACATAGTGTCTTAAGTTGAGAGGATCAGGGACCTTCGGACTGGCTGCATCATTTTGAGATTTTCTAGGATAGCCCACAGAAGTGACCATTCTCCACTGGATATCCAGCTGAAACGTACTGAAACTAAAGAATTCCTCAAGTTGCCTTTGACTTGACTATCCTTACCACACTCTGTTCAATATAGTTCTTTTCTAAATCTACTGCTCTGCACTGCAACTGGCAAGTAGGACCTTAGCTTGCCAGTCCTTACATACTCTGTGATCAAGGTATAATTCTTAGTGGTCAGCAGCAGTCAATCCCTGGTAAACCCAAAAACATCCAAACACATCATCTAAGTAAGGCCTTCTTATATATAATTCATGTGGAGGAGGTTTAGTTTATCCCACCTATAGGCACCTGGGAGGACGACAAACGTTCGTCGACTCCTGGTTCACGGTCCTCACGCCTTCCCTGGGAGGCCGAACGAGACGTAGACCGAGACGGAGAGCAGACCCAGACGGAGGGGTCAAAGAATGATTTTATGAAATGAGAAATGAATAGAAATGATGAAATACTATGAATCATCGAATCATATCGAATCAAATCGAATCAAATCGAATCACTTCAATTCTATGATCAATAATTCGATGTGTCTCTCTTTATCAGCTCTTCTTCTGTCACGCCCTTTGGCTGTGACACCCACGTACCCTCACTTACCCCCTCCCGGAAGTGTCTTCGCCCAGCGGCACGTTGCGATGCGACTCGCCGCCAATGGGGGCGCCGCAACCCACCACCGGGCAGCGGCCCAGCTGCATGGGGCGCGTGCACTCGCCCACGGAGTAGGGGTGCCCACGCGGGCAGGTATACCTCAGCGGCGTTCAAAACGAGAGTGACACGTGGGGGCGAAAGCAGGGTCAAACGAGCACAGACCCAGATATCCCAGATAGCCAGAGAGCCCACTTTGTTCTTTCAATGCAATGCATATTCAATCATATTCAACTATACTACGTATCCATTGAGACTTGTGCCACTACCGTAGACTAGCAACAATGTTTCACATGGCACTCCATGTTGCCGTGGGTTTGGTAACAGCTCAACATGACTTCCACTTAGTGCAGTTGATGTCTTACTTAAGTGTGAGTAGCTGCACCAACAGAAGATTGGCGGAAGATTGGCGTGTTCGTCCAGGGCAGGTACTTACCCAAAGCATCCCGCAAGAGGGAAGAATACTACATGATGACCGGTCCGACAGTGAAATTCAGGGAACATCCTACCAGTACAGCGTGCTCCATGGACCATCCTCCACCGCTTCACCAAGGAACCAGCCCACATAGCCCATGGCACCAATCACCGCTGCCTCCTGCAGATGAAGCACCCATTGGTCAAAGGACGGAACACCTGACTCGTGCAAATGATCTATGATGTGTCTTTTTTGCTGTTCTATCTGAAGTACATGGACTTGGACTTGGAAAGCTGTCATTCGTTGAATCCAATCCAAATCCCGTGTCGAATGGCTGTATATACTCTATAGTGACAGGTGTTTTGGGGGGGTGGATCATAGAATTGGGTCGCACGGTGGAGTCACCGGAAAGCCGCCCATGCTTCCAGATCTCGAGTCAACGGCCAAAAACACGAGTTGGTAACCAGGTATCGCAACCATTTTCACTTCCCATGTCAGACCCAAGTCAGACCCAAGTCACTCCGCATCAACATCACCCAAACAAGGCACAACGACCCAAAACCCAAACCAATGAATGATCCCAAAAAGATCACCCCCCAAAAAAGACATTTATATAATTTGCGATGAAATCAGTCCCGAAAGCAGTCCCATCCTCCCTCCCCAGCTTCCCCCAACAAGACACGAACTCACTCTCAGGCATCGTCCGCGTCACTCTCAGGCATCGTCGGCCAGTAGAGCCGCTTCGCTTCCTTTGGGTTCGTCAGAACCATCTCGAGCCTCGACGACGGAAATCGCGGACGGCGCCCACGGAAGGGAGAGCGTGGAGAGCGTGCGTGAGAAGTACGGGCGTGTTGGGAGAGCGTGATGGGCATGGAAAGCCAACGAAAAAGAACAAAAGACATATTGAAACCCACAGTTTGGCAGTTGGACTGATTAAAAGCAAATGGATCGAATTCAAACCCAACCAACTTCAAATCCACACCCATACACACGATGGCCACACACATGCAAAACCGTTTTACTTCCCCGACCGTCGGTGACATGTTTCGACGAAGCGAGGTGAGGGCTCGCTGCAACGCTTCCGGGTCTGGGCCGCAGGGCCAAGAGGAGGCGTATTGCGAGTCAATCAGCACGAGGCACAGCAAGGAGGCCATCTGCTCCAGAAATTTCCTCATCTGGGAGGCTGTCAGAGCAAGAGGAGGATTGTGGCGGCTAAGAAGAAGCGGAGGGTGATGGTGGATTTAATTGAAGAACAAAGACCTTCATTACATGCCATAAGAAGTACGTGTGGTTTGAATGGAAAGCAAAGCCTCAATCAGTTGGAGCAAACTTGAGACAGCCTGGGGCCATGCTGTCCATCTCCTCCGGATGATTCTGAAAGGCTATTCTCAGTAAGTCTAGTTGCTTCTACTCTGTGAGACCATAAGCGGCCATCCTGTCAGAGAAGTGCCTACTGCCCATTCAAAACTCTTTCTCCTTTGGACATAATCACCATTTTGTCCTACTTTCTTCATGAACTTCGCATGCAACAGTTTGGGTCTTGAAGCCAAACAGCACCCATCTGCACTAGCCTAGCCTGCCCAAAGCTAGAGAACCCCCAAAACCACCAGGGTCGGCGCTGGCGCCGCGCGGGGCTTCTGCGCTCCTCGAGGGCTTCTCAGGATCTTCCACGGCCAAGTCCTCACACAGCGATGGACCGAACCCGCATCGGTTGTGGTCGTCCTCCAGAGAGCGAAGCGTCCTCCCCTTGGTACAGACTGTTCCTTCCCAGAAGAGTTCCCTTCGCAGCAACTCGTATAGTTCATAAGTTCCAATATTCCATTGCTAAGAAAAAAGGTCCCTTGATTTCAAAGGGCTGTCTCGCAAGCCTTTGCCCCACGTGGAGGGGCGCAAACCGATGGCAGCCGTCCTTCACGTGTGGGAGCAAAGTGCCAGCAAACATTCGGTCAACGAGCGCCTGCTTGCTCCTGAGGCTGGTGGGACACCGGCCGAAAATGATGGGACACCGGCCGGTGCTGGGGCCGGTCTAGGGGTATGATTTCTAGTTGGAAGTGCTACATGACAATGATGTTGCTTTGGAAAAAACAACAACTTGGAGAGTACTTTGAATGGTAGTGTGAAAGCCTTGCGAAGTACGTAGCCTGGTTCCCATCCAGTTCCTATTCAGCTGGTGGACACAAAAATTCAGCAGCATATCGTCTTTGTCAATGAAATGGAAAATCAAACAATCTCCACCCCAATGCTCAACAGGACAACGTCGTGCTGTTGTTCTCGAGCACTGGTAGGCAAAAGTGATCTTTACATATCTTTACCCATTTCATTAGTTATGTAGTAAATATGTAAAGATCCCGAGTGTTAGTTAAAAAAGATCCCGAGTGTCATAAAACAGAACTAACGAAATGTCCTAGCTAATTATAAGTTGTGTCCTTTCTTCTAAAATGATTACACGAGAACCGAACCTCATGAAGATCCCTTCATGTCATGTCGACATCCCTTCTTGGTTGAAAGGTCGAAGAGGATCAACATGGATCAACCAATGCACGTGGACACTGGACATCATTGGACATGGGCTCACACCGTGGTCAGCCATTCCGCAAGGATCTGTCTAAAAGACATGTCAGGTCACGATGGGCGTGAGAATTTCCACCCCTTGGAAGGTCATGGTATATGATCTTCATTGTTTTCTACTGAGTTGATCTATTAAAACTAGGCTTCCAAAACATGCAACCACTAAAGCCTGACACATAGTTGTCTGCGCCTGAGAAAATGTTCTCTGATGTTCTCCAAATCGATCACAATGATCTGCATGCCACTTTGAGCTGCCCACAGGATCTGTTTTGGGTTTGAGTGCTAAGTGAACTCCATCCTTTTGCAAAGGACACTGACGGACACTATGCTTGAAAAAAATCATGTTCATCCTTCAGCGTTCCTTTTAGTTCCAAAACGACCTCCCCAACGATCTCCGGAAATCCCGAAGCCTTCCCTACACCCTACCGCTCACTGATCCTCACATCAAGAAAACAAACTGCGACGGCCACTTTCCTCCCATCCATTCCGAAGGCGCCTGCCACCTTCCTGGCACCATCTGGCACCTCTCTCCCCATCCACCCATTTCCTGGCGCGCGCCGTGCCACTGGCCTCCTGCTCACATTGGTCTCCTCATTCAGACTCTCCGTGGTCCACTCCTTCAGCTTCCGCAGACCTTCCTCGATGGCCACCTGCGGATTCAGTGCGGAGGGGCGGAGCGAGCACTGAACAAGCAGCACCCGGTCGCTTCTGGTTTATACAAAGTTCTATTTTGGTGTTTTGGTTTGTGCTATTTTGGTTTTTGACCATTCAATCCCATCCGAAATAAAGCTTGGTAGTGCCAAGCATTGATCAGAAATCAGGGGACAAAAAGAAACATGTGGTCCGTGGTAGATTGTTCAGGAATAGGGCCGCCTTTTTGGGTCGAGTCATCCTATTGTGAGGCCTATGATCGCTATACAAACACACGGTTTTTGAGGTACAAACATATATGGTTTCTTGCATGTTAATCCATTCTCATCCGCTCCCTCTCCTCTCGCACCGTGAATGCCCGTGCCTGGCGGTTCAACAAGACGCGGGACGTAATGGCGCCCAGCACCATGGCGGTTCTCCGCCCGCTCGCCACGCCGGGAAGCGCCCGAGCCACTGCCTGGCGTGGAATTTCGGTCCAGCAAAGCAAGGGGCACCTGGCGCGGTGTACCTGGTATGGAGACTGATACATTGCTGTGGAAATTAGCACCGCATGGTATAACCGGTGCTAAGTCCAAGATCAGATCAGGAGACCTGCCCTGAACAGGCACAATTCAGGGTACAGTTCTGTGAATTTCATGCTCAAAACCAAGAACCTTCAGATTCGACATGACTCATTCCCGAGCACCTCCTTGAAAGCCTGGTCGTTGGGAGAGCTCGCACAAAGCCCTGCAGCACTGCAAAGGGCATTGTACCTCCATCGCTGAGAACTGACGACTTTTCTGCGACGACAGTCTGAGCCTGATGTGCTGAACCCTGATGACCGCCTGCACCGCCGTCAACAACAAAAAGAATCCCCTGAACCCTGAATCCCTTTCCCTGAACCCTGGTTCTGCGGTTGACTAATGAGCCTGCAACGATTTCTCCACCAAACATCCCCACCAAACAAAAGACGTCCAATTCCCCCCGGCCAGGCTCCCATTTCGGACTGAGACTGCCTGCCAGCTCAGAGTGCGAGTGGTGCGGAAAACATGCGGTGGAGAGCACTTGTACGCATGCACGAACCACTCCTTAAAACATGAACATATTATATCTTATCCTGCATGGTCCATGCTTGGGAATCTTCAGTTGGACATGTTCTGATTGTTTTACCGTTCATTCCCCGTCCCTTTCACTCCTCACTACCGCTTAACGAAGTGTCAGGCCAGTGTCGCTCGCTCCCTCCTTTCCCTGCCGACATCCTTTCTTCTGATCCACCCCGTTCGACCGACCCTGTATGTCATTCGGCCTTTTCAAGGTCTCGTCCAACTTCGGCAGCAAATTCACCTCGAAGATCGGAAGCACCGAGTGAGCTGATCGACGTGATCGAAAGCTTCGACCGACTCAGAGAGAGTTGCCGTGGCGGTTTGGACCGTTCTTGTTAAGAGAATCTCTGGTTTTCATGGGGGTCAAAGAGATAGATGGGATCGATCCCATGACCAGGTTTCAGTGGATGATGATTAGGTTGCAGGCCTTTCTCGTTTACCGACTGTTACTGGCAATGGGACAGACCGTAGAGATAGACCATCAAGAGACCAAGTAGATCAAAAATACCGATTTCATCAAGTAGGAAAATGTTTGCTTTTGGAACCATTTTCGGGTGGTTCCACATTATTTGGGTGCTAGACTTGGACATTACCAGGTCAACCAAATCTCTCCAAAAACGAAACCCACCAAACACACTTGCCAGTACACAGCTGGCACCCCACCGAACCGGCGGTGGAAACGGTCGCTCCGAGCTGGCTCACCGGTCCTTGCCCCCGCCCCCTGTTCAGCCGAAAAAAGCAGAGCCCAGCCGCAAACGGATCTGGCAGGTCGTTCGACAGGTTCGGCAGCCGCGCCGGGTTCAAAGGAAACCATGGCAATGCACCTGCAAACGCAAACGTTGAGAGGGAACAAACCCATGAATTATAACTGTTTCCTTGTGGGATTGGGATGCCTGTGAGCAGCTAACGTTCTGAGCTCGCATTCGCCTGCAGAACCAGCTCCACCCAGATAGTACCATGACGAAACGTTGCCAATGATTATACGCAAATCCTGACTGCGCTGACCACGTGCTGACCACGCTGGCCACTCAGCCTTGCCTTGGGGAAAAAGACACATAGCCCAAAAATGGTTTGTGGATCAACATGTTTGATATGACTGACAATTTTATGATTAAAAAGACTGGACATTGCCATTTATATGTTGAATGCTTCTTGCTTTCCAGAATCCACAACAGTGTGGTTGTGAGACCACGCGTATTGACTACCCATAGAACTCTCTCATCCACTCTCATCGACTCGTCGTTCGCCCACTAGTCGGTGCAGAAATCAACAAAACCACAGAAAGTTTGTTGCATGTTTGAATACCAACGCATGCCGATGCATGCAATTCCAATGTTTTTATTGCATTGTGCCCTGGATGCACTGCATTTGCAAAAAAAACATAGTTTTCCGCCCACTGTGTGAAATTGATACGCGCATAACTATGTTGCATTTCTTTTGGAAGGGTTTGTGCCATTTGGGGGATTCAAGCACCACGGCAAAGTATGATCTTTCAACGGCAAACTGTAATTTGTCCACGGCAAAGTGTATGATTACCGCGCTCGGACCACGCTCAGACCTCTCTATTTTTCACCCCAAAACGCGCGACCGTCCCATGCGCGACCGGAGACCGCGGGACCCGCGCCTTCATGGACGATGGCCAGGCGGCACAGCTCCAAATCGCCGCCTCGGCGGCGAATGGCCTTGGCCACAAACAGCGCCTCAGGGCGCGATCGTCGGTGGCGCGATCGTCGCGGCGCGGCGAGGGCGCTGGCCGCCTTGCGGCGCTTTCCGAGAACTATGGGGATGTGGGGGTCGAAAAGTTTGGGTGACCAAGCGAAGCAAGGACAATTGGGTGTTTTATGGTGTTTTCATCCCTGAAGTGTATCATTTAGACTCATCATGACCTTGTATTGGTTGAAAACGCTCTTCTGGGCTGAGGAACACTCAGGGAAAGAAACTGATGTTGAAGCACTTATTGAGTCGCATGACAGCCCAAAGCTCTGCAAAGGTTCAGAAAACGATGTTCCCAGGTTCCAGCGTACTGCGAGAGATTCGCTCTGGACGTTATAGAAGTGTTTCCATCATCTGGTAGCAGTGCTGTTCTGCAGTTGTTGAGAGTATGTGCAAGTAGTTGATAGATCCAATAAATATCAATAAATAAAACAAATCAAACAGATTTGCAAAGACGGAATTGCAAAAGTCGGTCGGTCAGACCGGTGGATGTTCAGAGCAAGTGTATTGACTTAATGCTGATGAATGGCTCAAAAAATATCAGCTGTGTTATGTTGGAGACTTTGTGTCTGCCTGCTTTACTTGAATTCACCACCCCTGCTGGATTCCTGCAGCAAGGCTCAGCTGACTTGTTCCTCTTCAGCAGCTCTTGTAGCTCCGCCGGCGCCGGTGGTGGTACGCCAGAGCCCACGAGGCCTGGGCTTTTTAAGAGGCGGAAAACACACACAAAAAAAAAAGAAAACGACTTGAGCTTGCAGTGTGTTCTGCGCGGTCTCGATGTTGCATGATGTTGCGTAAGTTCTGTTGATCCCGAGGTTCAAGTGTGAACAAAAAGAGCAAGAGCAATCCCCCAAAAAGATGGTGCGCGACTGCACGAGCGCATACACGACATCCACCCTGCAAAAATACTCAAGCTGGCATGGATTTGGGGATATTTGGGGCATCGTGTGGAGGCAAACACTAGCCACCTGGAAAGCACGGGGACAGCATGTTCCTTTGGTATGCTTAGAGAATCTGGGGTGCTGATTTCACCAATTCTCATGAACCTTCTTGTGCTCTTGTGACTGTGACAGATCTGCTCTGACCAAGCCGCTGTTTGCATAGTGGCAAAGGCTTCGACGCAAACGTACAGCAGCACGAAGAAGATTCCTTAGCTGCCAAACGTATGAGTAGCAACCAATGAGAAAGGTCGTTGGATAAAATCCTGCCCTCCGCCAAACCACGAGAGACCCATTTGCACTGCAATTTACCGTGAGATTTCTCCAAGCTCTTCCAGTGTTCTTATTGGGGGATCTGTGAGTTTCTTGGGATAATTACCTACGCTGAGGGAAGAAGACGTCAAGTGAGGATGCACAAAAGGCCCCTCTTACGAAAGGAAAGTGGAGCTGAATTCCAGGTGAAAATGCCTGTGCTAGTCGGATAGTATATGCATGTGGATTCAGTCCGTTTCACCTCAGCTTTGAACCTCCGGTTTCATAGCAGAAAAGGATGAACATTCACGCGCATTCATCCAGAAGACCGTATCTTGCCACGAGCTTCTGAGGGAAATTCATGATGAATTCATCCATGTGCCATCAATGTTTAACTCCCCACACCAGGCATGGTGGCGCGGTTGTCCCGCGTTTTTTCCCTGCTGTGCAAGGCTCGGAGAGCATGTTCTCGTGGTCTGAACCTGCAGACTTTGAGGGCCAAGAGGTCAAGAAGTGACGTAGTCGACCCAAAAGAAATCGCAGCAACCATCATGTTCGGGGATTTCTACAGATTCATCTCGATATCACTGGTCACCTAAAGATAAGACCCTGTCCATGATTAGACTTCCCAAGACAGGCACCATTCATATCTGGTCGACACCTTTGTGTTGAGCGCCACAACATATTTTGCCGAACTCATGAGCACCTCTAGTGCCCCAGTTTCGGCAGTCCGCGGCAGCAGTTGCATGCTTGCTCATCCTTCTTCACCCTCCAAAATACACCTCCATACTCTGGGTCTATCCCATTGCTAGATAATTGCTAGTAAAGGCCGTACTTATATAATATAGACTTATATATAATGGCTTACCGACTGCTACCTGCAGGTAATGGGTCACCCCCAATCCATATTCCTCTTCTAGACTGTCGCTTCTGCAGAAACCATGGCACACGACCAATCACACTCCGCAACGGGACCCAGAGCCGTTCGGCCACGTTCGATCGGTCTTTTGGCTTTTTTCGGCATCAAGCTCCGTGGCACTCAAGAACAATCCGGGATAGTCCAAGGTTCGGAGGCTTCGGGGTAATGACACTCCCTCAAGACTTTGATTGAAGTGGTTGCCAAGTGTCAACGTCTGGAGGCCGTTCGGCAGTGTCACTGTCTTCAAGCTCTGATTGAATGAGCTGCCAAAGGTCAAAGTCAGAAGGCTGCATGGCCAGGTCACTCGGTCCAAACTTTGATTAAATTCACTGCCAAAAGTCAAGCTGCGCAGGCTACTGGGCAAAGAGACTCTTTCGAGACTTTGATTGAAGTCACTGCCAAATTCCAGGCTCACTAGGCCATTGGGCCACGTCACCCCGTCCAACTTTTGGTTGAAATCACTGCCAAAGGAAAGATTCTGAAGACTTTCGGGCCAAGTTGCTCTCTCCAAGCTTTGGTTGAAACCATCACCGAAGGCCAAGCTCCTCAGGCCCAAGGGCCAAGTTACTCCATCCAGCTTTTGGTTGAAATTGTCACCAAAGGTCATGCTCTCAAGATTCTTGGGCCAGGTCACTCGCTCCAAGCTCTGGTTAAATCGATCACCCAATTCCAATCCTCTGAGGCTGCTTGGCCATTTCAATGATTCCAATCGTTGGTTGAATTGATCGCCAAAGGTCAGGCTCTGAAGACTGCCAGGCAACGTAACTCCAGTGCTGAAACTCTGGTTGAATTGATCACCAAACGTCAAATGCAAAAGGCCACAGGGCCAAGTGATTCGCTCCAAAGGTTGATTGAAACCATTGCCAAATTCGAGATTTTGAAGGCTTTCCGTCCAAGCGACACGCTCCAAGGGCTGGTTGAATCTAGCACCAAACGACAAACTCTCGAGGTTCTTCGGCCAAGTGACCCCATCTAATTTCTGGTTGAAATGTGCTCCAAAGATCAGAGTCTGGAGACTGTTGGGCCAAGAAACTTGTTCCAAGCTCTGGTTGAATCGATTGCCAAACTTGAGATGCTGCAAGCTGCTGGGCAGTGCAACTCGCTCCAGACTCTGCTCGAAGCCAAATCCGAGCGTCAAGTTTCGCAACTCGCACGGCCAAGCGACTCGATCCAAAGTCTGGTTGAAGAGCGCCCCAAAAGTCAGACTCTGCAGGCTGTGGGGCAGCACCACTCGCTCGATGCTCCGGTTGAAGGAGTAGCCAAACCTCAAGGTCAGGAGGCTGTTCGGCAAATGCACCGCCTCCAAGCTTTGGTTATAGGAGTGGCCGAAGGCCAGACTCTGCAAGCTGGGCCAAGTCACTCGTTCCAAGCGTTGGTTGAAAGAATAGCCGAACTTGAGATGCTGCAAGCTTTGTGGCCAATTGACATCCTCCACCTTCTGATTGAAGGTATCGCCAAAGACCAAGCTCTGCAGACTGCGGGGCCAGGTCACTCGCTCTACCTTATGGTTAAAACTATCGCCCAACAGCAAATTCTGGAGGTTCGGGGGCCAAGTCACTCCTTCCAAGCGCTGATTAAAGCAGTCGCCAAAGGAGAGAGATTGAAGCTGCTTAGGCCACGTCACTTCCTCCAAGCTCTGGTTGAAAAGTCTGCCGAATTTGAGGCTCTGGAGGCTGTTGGGAAGTAGGACCAGCTGTCTAAGAGTCTTGACTTCTTTCATTTGAGTGATTCCCTCCAGCGCTAGGTACGGGTTCTCAAGTGGCACAAAGTTCATGAACTTCCAGGCATCTTCTAAGGAAACTGGCTCATAGACATAGGACAAGGAACAAGACTCTCCAACCAAACCCTGTTCTTCCAGGGTCTTCTGCGGTCTTAGCATCTCCGAACCGTTCTGCAAGGACACTCGCGCACCCGCCTTGCACGGCAAATGCTCGCCAATCACGCGGTAGAGGTGACTACCTTTCAAAGACTTGGGTACCTTGGCCAAATACTCTTCGCCATGCAAGCCAACGATCCGGAGGTTTAGCACATCTTCTGCATCGGGATAAGCGGCCGATGGAGCGCTGCACGCCGCATCAGCAGGCCAAACCATGGAGAATAGGGCGACATGCGGGTCAACCCATCGGCACGGTGCTCCACATCGAACAACTATGAGGGCTCATATGGAGGTGTGGTGTTCGTATGGCCTATGGAGATGTGGGGTCAAATTGATATAGTATTAATTATGTTCTAGATTTTTTGAGGTGGTTGAGATACGGTCTCAAATCCCTAAGTGGGCTTGCTGAGGATGTCTACCGCTTTTCTTCCGCAGATGTCTACAGAAACCGGGCAGTGCTGCACCAGATACTCCGTCCTTCCGGTCGCTTTCACGACGACGCTCACTCACCGGCTATAGGGCAGGCCAGTCTTGGGCCTACAGAGAGGCGCGGTAGGCCCGTGGGAAACTGTACAGATACATGCATGCAGTACCAATTAATCTAGCCCTGAACTTCAAGCCATGGGGATTTTTCGAGAGTATATGTTCGATATTTTGGGATGGTACGACAAGATCGCACAAAGGGATCTTGCAAAATCTTTCCAAAACACAAAGGATGACATGGAATGACTCTCATTCTACGTCCGGGTCCAACTCCGAGCTTTCCAGATCGAACTGCTTCCAGTTCGCTTTTCAGTACCGTCTGCCTAGTCGGACCTGTCAACGTTTTACACCACGAGAAGCGACTGGAGCGACTGGATGGCCATGTCTGTTGGAAGAAAGAAAAACGCGGCAAAATGGACGGTCACCAAACTTGGTCGGCCTCAGCGATGTCTTTGTCTCTGCAAGTGTCCAACTCAAGCACGTCCTGCCATTGGCGAGGTGGGCAAATCCCGAACTGAGAGGCGTTCAAAAGAATCAAGCAAGGTGGGAATCACCATCTGTGAGACCATAGAAACTCCTCAGCTTTCATTGGCTGTTTCACCAAGTAAACCCTTTGTCATTGACCCCAAAATCCAAGCAAGAGCGGCACCCGGGTCCACTGGGGATTCCGCGATACGTGGGTGTGCGATGAGCAGTAAGATATGTCCGTTTGCAGCGAACCCAATACGGACAACCATGGAATAGTGCCTCCATCGATCTGGATGGAAGAGTTTTTCTTCGTCCTCAAGGTCACGCCCCGGTTCTACGTTGAGCTCTGCAAAGGAAGACGGGCGCCCACGCGTGTATGGAAGTCACAAAAACAGGGAGAACATGTACGAAGACGACAACGTGCACCTATTTGGTTCCGGCTGTCACACCTGGAGGAGGTCTTATTACTTTCATTACACACGCTCCAATTAATGTTTGCCAATTGAAGCACAAAGCATCAAATTGAAGCTTCCGCCTACAAGTAGAACCTGTAAAAACAAGCCAAAGGATCTGAGGGCTTTCCACTGAAACATATCAAATTGTGGGTCCTCATCTGAGTTTCGAAGTCCTTCCAAGTGACATTCCTGAATGCTTCCCTCAGAAAAAAAGGCAACATCTCAACACGGAGTTTCAACAAAGCTCTGGAATCAACGGCTGCTGCCGACTTCTGCAGACTTGCAGCCAGCGCTTCCACCGGGTAGCTTCTCGTCCACACCGTCCCGGTCCCCTTCCGACACCGGTGCCTCGAGAAAGTTCATGTAGAGTCGTAAGGTCTTCGACTTCAAGGTGGTCGACTTCAAGACCTGCGCGGGACTGGGTGGCGTTCCAGAAACGGTGTCCGGAGCCCAAAAGTATCCAAAGTGGAGGTGGTGAGGGATGAATTGGGATGGATGTGGCAGTGTACGATGTAAAGAGGTCGAATGAGATAGAATACACGCCCAATATCGAAAACAGTTCGTGGTACCAGGACCTTTAAAGTAACCTTTTGAGATCACAGCATGAGGTCACTTACTTAGACATGCAAAAGGTCAGTTAGAGACTCCAAAGAGGTCACTTTGAAGGTCCTGGTCGTCAAAGCACGGAGTTCGGGTCTGAATAACTTCGGGTCTGAAAGGGATTGGAGATTCTGTCGAAATGGATATAAGCAGGAAGCGAAAGGGAAGTTGCGGACTGATGTCAAAACCCAAAGGATCCTCCGAAACGTGGCGAGGAGTGCTGATGTCCTACAGCTACAGAGCGCTGGAGTTCGTGCCATGGCACCCGTTCTGGATGAGGGAGAGGGAGAGTCTCTTCAATGATCCATGTGGGGAGAGTGCCAAGGTTAAAGCAATTGGATTGCAAAACCTCTTCGTATTGTGGGTGTTGACATATCAAGTACATTAAAATGGGAGACCCGCCAACCTATTTAATGATAATGCAGGTATATTTAAGGTTCTTTTTTCCAGGGGTTCCAGCTCAGCATTCTCCCTATTTCACATGTTCCATGTGGGTCTGAAAAAAAGATCTAGACCCCCGAGTTCGACCTCTGGGAAAGTCGAAAACAGACTAAACATGTAAATGTAGTTAAATTTATATGTAAAAATCCTTTGGGCTACGGCTAGGGAGGTTCCCTTCTTAAAGTACAAATCCATGTGAATCAAGTGGCCCGACTTGGCCGATTTCGCTTGTCGCCTTGCTCACGGGGTCCAAGTGGAGCCAGCGCAACAAGGACTTGGCACACTCTGTGGGCAGCCTGGCAGGCTTGCGGTTCTAAGAGTTTATGTCACCAACCTCTGTGTCACCAAATGGGAGAGCGTGACTGGGTACCGGGAAACACAACGGTTTCATCGACTTCACACCTCTCAAATAGGTGCATGAGCACTCATCCTAATCCCAACATAGAATCATGTAAGCATGGAATCTAAAATATGCCCCTTCCTTTCTTGAAAATGCTGGGGGTGGACAATAGCGACCTGTGTACCTCTGACCCATGAGACAACCCCTGCAGAGTTGAACATCATACACCTTCGGTTACTCTGACATCAGAATGCATGGCTTGGAATTGGCTGAGTGTGCCATCTACTAGGCACCCACATGATGGCATCATTGAGGGGTCGGTGCCACTTACCGAATATACTTGCACGCTGAACAGGGTATTTCACCCCCTCTATCAATCAACCAACCAAGACCGGATTTTGAAACGCCTGCCAACCAACGGCGCCCCGGCGCCCGGAGGTTTTCCCCTGCGCCGGCCTCTGCAGGTGAAAGTTGGTTGGATCTTCTTGCATCACAGAGGACCAAACGACCTGGTTTGCGGTGAACGCGAGGGAGAAAGCGTCAGCCGCAGGAAAGTCAGCAACCCAACCGAAACGGCACATTGAGTTAATCGTCACATGGTGGACTCTTGATTCATAGACGCACCCCCCAAGTTGGACGGTAAGACCTCTTCATGCGGGGGGGTTATGATGCATCAAGAATTTACATTATATAGTGCAAATGATGTGCCGGTCGAAAGGAAAACCGTTTGCCGTTCACCTGACATAAGTTAATCACATTGATGAAACATATTTACTGTTCGAATCCACCTTACCTTGATCCACATTCATGCACCTTCCGTATGTTCTGCGCGCTCTGAGCCGACCGTGTTCACGGTCCCCCGACCGAACACGCAGAGACCCGTGCCGTCGCCTCAGCCAAACCTGAGGCCTCCAGGGCTGCCAGGGCCGTTGGGAGCCGCAGGAGGTCTTCCAGCAACGCCAGGCCCGAACAAAAGGCCCGCGCCACCTGGGCACGTTGCGGCGCCTGGGCACCTCTTGGTGCCCGGTCTGGTGGGGATGTCTGAGGGTCTGAGGCTGGGTCTGACCGGCGTGCATGCCCAAAAAGCTCATCACAGGGGGGCGGGGGCGTTTGGATCCATTTCAAACCTGGACTTGGTTCATGTTGATTCCATCTTGGGCTGAAAGGAAGAGCCGAAGGCTGCAAAAAGGCGTCAAAACGGCGCCGGCGCTTCTCCGGTTTGCAAAGGTAAGATCCTGCTGCAAAAAAAGGCCGACGCGAGAGGCCTCTGGCCCAAATCATTCTTCTTGATGGAATGAAATGGCTGTTGATCACCCTGGTTGATCACCGAACATGAACGGATTCCTCTATGTTCGGGATGTCAACCCACCAGGATGAAAGAGGCTCCAGATTTTGATCCACTGCCAAATGATCTCCCAAACCTCCATGTGCTACAAATGGGGCGATGACTGCTTTAAGATGCCAATGTGAACCCTATTACAGTAGTTATTTATGTGTTTAAGGCCACTCTGCCCTCCAATCTAAGAGTGCTGGCCTCCAACCTACGTAATAGCGATGGCCTCCAGCCTAATAGCAATGGTCTCCAACCTAATAGCAATGGCCTCCAAACCAATGTGAACCCTTTACTATTCATATCGCCTCTGCTTCTGCAGTCTGATCTTCCTTGCTCTTCGCTGGCTCCTGGTCGACGGATTCAATCAAAGTAGCAAAAACATCCAAACTCAGGCTCCTGAAAACACTCTTCACACAAACTTTGAAAGACAGGTTTTCAAACAACGAACATGCAGAATTACCATTTGGGAATTGATTTGCAATGGACATTCTAACTTGGACCGAACATTCTTGCAACGGCCGATGATGGCACTGATGGCGACAAGGCAGCTGGGATTTTATCACTCCTACTGGGTTGCTCCATTTATCCCAAGTGAACAACTGGAGCAACTACAGCCCAAGCAAGCAACTGTATGTGCGACAAATCCCGTGAACATGTCTCTTCCAAATGGGAATTTTGTTTGTGCACAAGAGTTGGTTCTTCCAATGGGATTGAAACAAAATCGAATTCACCTGGCGTACGTCGGTTGGTCGGCCGGCCGACGGACCAAATCGGAAGTGGTGCCGGTAGTGCAGCAGATTCCCATCCGCGAGTTAGCCATGCAGAAATGTCTCATCTCCTAGGTCAAGGGACCCTGAAATTCATGGTCCTATCGGCCCTATCAGCGTCTAGCTCAGCTACCAAAAATCACATCACTGTCTACAACATCTCTTTTCAGCGCTACACTCCGCACAACCAACGTGGAAAACACACTTTTGCGATCAAATAAACCTTCTCTTCAGGGGGACAGTATTCCGTATCTCTACTCCCAATGCCAATAGTCTACTGCTTGCCCTGCCTGGCTCATCCTGGTCATGTCCCGCAAGGAACTCACAGTGCTACGCCAAAAGTCCTGCAAACGAAGCGCTCTGGACAATACCCACACCGACACCGAGTTTTCCCCAACCAGTTTACGGTTAGGGGTTCTCAATTCTTTCTTAAGATGTGCCCAGGTTCGGTGCCTGTACTGCTGCTGTCCGCTCTTTTCCGCTGGCCATGCAGCATTTCCATTCATCTGTCTCCCAGGTGATTTCTTCACTTCCCCAAACAGGTTGCCGTTAGGGGTTCTCAATGCTTTCTAAGGGTGTCCGCCTTGCTGCGGGACAGCGTGTCCGCCTTTACTCCGGCTTGTCACCCTCTGTCTCCCTGTCCGCCTTGTCTCCCTTCTGTCTCCCTTTGTCCGGTCTTGTCTCCCTTCTTGTTGGTCACTGTGCCTCCTTCTTCTCCGTCTTGTCTCCCTTCTGTTTCCTTTTGTCTCCCTTCTTGTCTCCCTTCATTTTGGTCATTGTGTCCCCCTTGTCTCCCTTCTGTTTCCTTTTGTATCCCTTCCTGTCTTTCTTCTTGTTGGTCATTGGGTCCGCCTTCTGTCTCCCTTTTTCTCCGGTCTTGTCTCCCTGCTTGTGGGTCACTGTGTCTACCTTCTTGTCTCTCTTGTTGTTGGTCATTGTGTCTGCCTTGTCCCCCTTCTGTCTCCCTTTGTCTCCCTTCTTGTTGGTCACTGTGTCCGCCTTCTGTTTCCTTTTGTTTCCCTTCTTGTGTGAGGCGGACACAGCAGCCCAGAGCTGGAGACAAATGTAAAGGATTTTGCTTCACATTTGCCTCCCTGTGTCTGCATTTGTCTCCCAGCTCTGGACTGCTCTGTCCGCCTCTGCCTTGCAATCCTTTACATTTGTCTCCCGGCTCTGGGCTGCTGTGTCCGCCTCTGCCTTGCAGCCCGCAGCCTGTGGAAGAGCATCAGCCAACACCTAGGACCAAGACGGGAACGGAGTCAGTTGGCTGAGAGGCAGAGGTGTCAGGAATTGAATTTGAAACGAACAATGAACTAAATATTCAAAAAATAAACTCTTGTGCATCTCCAGCGTCCAGTGGCAAAGTTCTTCACTCGCTTGTTGAAGCTTTGCACCACAGCGGTAGTGGGTTTGTCCGTTACAAACTGCTTGGAACCGCTTTTCGAGTCCTGCACGTCTTCGTACTTCTCTCGTTTCAGTGCACCAACACGAACCAAAATCCTCCATCTTGCCTGTTCTTTTGTCTTCCACTGTCTGTTTGTCGGCAAGCTCAGAGTCTTTGAGGTCTCTGTTCCATGCATCCAAAGCTTCTTTTGGATTCAGCCGCTCCTCTGGTGGAACCTTGTGCATGTAGTGTTCCTTAGCTACTAGCCAGGCCATGAAAGAAGAACATTACGATTTGAAAGTGCAGTGTCGTAGATTCGTCAGACTCGTAGCGTCCGTCTTAGAGTACAGCACAGTACTCACGTCCCGTAAGTACAGAGAGTACGTACAGTACGGTAACCTGGCTGCCTCTGCGAGCACTTTGCCATTCTGGCATCATATTGGTGAGAAGGATCTGCTGGGCCCCGGTCCGTTGCCGTGCATCTTCAGACTTATGGCGCGAACGTCGCGGCGTCGAACGGAAGGCGCTTCTGTTTCTTCATCCGCTTGCCACAGTCTTCATGAAGTTGAAGTCGACGCTAGGTTTCCAAGGCTTCCCGGGTTGCACTGATGGCCGCTGCAAAATCAGAGAAGCATTTGGCATCCATGCAACAGCCTCACTCACCGACTTGACGCCGAACCAAGTGACTAAGACTTACCGGCCGGAACTTATGAACATATTGCTTTTAGATACACATTTTTGAACTAGCTTGACTGAGATTGATTGAGACTATACACTGTTCCCCAAATCGAGATCCCGTCCTTGTCAATCTCCCACGTCCCAAGTCCCAGTTGGGCCGCCGCCCACCAGACACCAGTCCACTAGTCACCAGTCCAGTCCAAGGAAGAAACACAACCAAGGCACTCTTCAATCCAGATTCAAGTGCACGTAGTGCTTGAACCAGGGTACTAGCGTTTGAGCTTTGCAGTGAGTGCACGGTCAGTGGAGCTGCTGCAGCTTCTGCATCTTCACCTAGATGGTTCTCAGCAGTGGCACCATTGTTGCCAGTGCCATTTCTGCCCTTTCCATCACTGCCCTTACCCTGGCCCTTTCCATCACTGCCTTTGCCATTGTTGCTTTTGCCGTGGCCCTTGGCGGTGGCGTTGTTGCCATTCTGACCCATTATGACGCCAAAGCCCGCATTGTATGTGTCCCAATTGTCCACGCTGAAATAGTTCCCAACAAAGACTGTCACGACATCATTGTCAAAGACATTGATAGTTATTTCCAGCAGCCTCTCATAGAAGCTCAGCAGAAGCCCCCTGAGCAGGGGATGGTAGCAATGCACTTGTATACTGTATAATACGCTAACCATGGACCATGCACCATGCAACAATGCCAATGCCAACCAAAACTTTGGGAGGCTAGAGTTGCTGTCAGATCTTGTTCAATGTTGTTGTCTTCTTAGTTATTCAATGTTGTCAAATTGTTCTTTGGCCTGGCCTGAATTGCCTCAATGGCAGTGGCAAAGAACTTTTCTCACCTGCAGGTTGACTGGCACGGCCCCACTGGCGGCCCCCCCCACTGCCACTCCACCAGCCCCAAAGTTTCAAAATAACCAGTGCACAAAGTGTCTAAATATATATATATATATATTATATAACGTATAAAAAACAGAACATATTCGACATATTCCATAAACTTGGTCACTTGAGCCAGCCTGGGTCCTTCAAGTTGTCCCAAAGATTGGCCGCATTCTTGAGGGACGCATATGCGCGGACCAAGCAAGTCATTTGTGCTTGGTGGTTTGGTTATAAGTACTCTAGTTCTATCGCCAGTGAGTTGAAGTATGCACGAGCAGCGTTTTGCCTCCATTGCGGCCAGCCCGCTAGTGATGTCATCGCTGCTCCGAGTCTCTGAGCAAGTAGGGCTATTACATAGAAACTCGGGTGTATGTCACTCAATCAGTCGTTTATGGTATGTGCAAAACTTTGAACAGACTGTGCGTACTAATTATAATCATACTCACAGAACATACTAGGATGAGGTGAGCCCTTTTGAAAGTTCACATGTGAGTCACCGTGAAGTCCAAAGCCACGTCGCAGTCCAAGTCCAGTCGAGTCAAGTCCAGTCAAAAGAGGTCCCCCCCTCCACAACCGACTCCTTGCCACTTGGGCGGTATAAACCATTGGCATGTTTGAAAGCCCCCCCGTGTTTTGTGCGTTTCAACCTCTGTTTCTCACAGATTGCAACGTCACACGACTTGCTCTGAAGCTTCTAACATTTGTAGAGCAGGGGGTGGAGACGCATGTAATGCTTCGCCACCAACGAAGCTGGCAATTAATACACTGTGAGGATATCAGTTCTGGGCGCAGAACCGACGTACTTGCTTAGGTTGTGAAAATTGTGAGCTTGATGTGAACCATTGTAAGTCATTTTGTTTCGGACTCTGTCGCCTTTCGAAAAGCTGTTGGGTCCGACTTTGTTGAGGGCTTGGAAGCGCCCTTTTTTCCAAAACGCTTGGTTTGGAATGGTTCCCCCTTTTGGACCAACACGGCTCCCTTGAAAAGTGGTCTGATTTCTTTGTTGTACCGGGCCAGGACAAAGTGGTTGAGGAGCCTGGCCTCCCAAAGGCGGGCTGAAACGACAGCGAAACCTGTACGGTTGCAACCTTGTGGAAGAAATAGGCTCAGGCGCAGAAAGGTGGTTAGTAACAAGAATGTAACAAGAAAAAGCGAGGTGATTCAATGCCAGGTAGGTAATGTTGCGAAGAAGCTAGGCCGAACTAATCGGTGGGTAAGCAGGGGCCCCACTTTGGGATTTGGCAAGGCAATGGGAAGGCTGCAAGAGGACATGTTGGACCAAACTAGGGGGAGGGCTGTTGATTGTTAGCTCAGTTGGTTGCCCGGTTGCTGATTTGGAGAGCTGCCCCTCCAAGATAACAGGTTGTTTGCGGCAAGACAACCTGGCATTCTTTGCTACCAGGCCTTTTAGGTTTCCAATCTCGCCAGCATTCAGCTCTGAGTCCAAAACTGTGGTTTTTGCGAGCGTCCAATTTTCCAAAACAGTTGTTTTGGAAGAGTCCCCGCTTTCAGGCTGGAGTACTTAACCTACATACGCTGACTAATCTTCTGGGTATTTGAAGAACCCCCCGTTCAACCTGGCCACCTACAAGGAGAGCCACAAGGAGGTGAAAGGCCAAAAGCAGAAGGCTGACTTTGAACTTCTCACTTGGCCCTCCTTGGCAATCCTTGGTGCGTGGTGGCGCTTGGGGCTGCCGTGACCGTGGAGCCCATGATGGCGGCATAGGCTTCGGCGAGCCCTTGGACGGTTTGCCTGATGACCACGCTTCTCTTTTGAAAGCGTATCTATGGACAAATCATCGTAAGACTAGACTAGGCTGAACATAAGATGTCAGGAATTTGAAATGACCCGAGACAGGTTGAGACATGTTTCGTTACCATTGCTACCTGCGCCGCCTTCAGCCGTTCCCGCTTGGTCCGCACACGGCATGCTTCGCGGCTCTGCTGACTGTTTTGAGAACGTAGAGGGAGGGCTGCCTCTTGGTCCGCACACGGCATGCTCCGCGGCTCTGCTGACTATTTCGAGAACGTATAGAGGGAGGGCTCCTCCCTGGCGGAAGCTCTGAGAATGTCGAGCACAGGACGCGCTGTAAAGACTTTGTAAAAACATGATCCGAAAGATCCCCCTGTACATAACGGGGTGACGTTGGTCCCCCCATTCTATAGCTATAAAAGTGGGGACGCGGAGTTTGGTGTTACAAAATGCCAGGACCTGGAAAAAAAAAACACTATAGAATGAAGGTACCTCTAGTGATGACAGCCACTAGGAGTCTGTTTCAAGTCAAGCTGAAAATGCTCTAGAAAATGCCTGGCCCGACCCTCAACCTCTCAAAACCAAAAAACATACAAAACACTGAAAAACATTTTGTAGTGCACTCGTCTTGGATCATGAAAATATGATATAGGGTCAGCTGAGGGTCGTGTGACAACATTTTGTAGTAGCATCACTCTGGATTCTTGTATTTTTGAATCTGTGTGAGCTGAGGGTCGTGAACTGGCATCTTATAGAGGGTTGAGGTCGGGCATGGGCATCTTATCTGGGCAATTTAAAATAATTCCTGGGTCGTCGGTTAATTTCGTTAAATTCAAAACCAACTGAAATTAGTGACGTCGTCGAAATTAACGAAATTATGGTGACGTCGTTGTGCCCTAACGCCCCCAGCCAGCCAACACGCTGGCCAGCCAGGGGCGACACCACTATAAAATGTCCGCCCAGGCAGATGATGTCATCATGTTCTTGCCACAAATTGTCACTACTAAATGATGGTGGCTGGTGACATTTGTTCACAAAACACTTAAATCACTACAATATGCAAGCACACGAGGTCATCATGGGACACGATTTTTATATAAAAAACATAGTTATATAGGGGCTTGAGCACTGCCATTCCATAGTGGAAATGCACAGGGGGATTCCGAAAGGAATTTAAGTTGCTACATTGGCATATAATATGAAGATGATACGAAGTCTGGAGTTAGTAGACTTTAGCCATTGGGTAAGTTGATTGGGGAATTACAATAGTTGGGCATCTCAAATCCTGCCGGATTCTATATACGTTTTTCCCCAAACAGTGTGGGAACACTGAGGGGTTCTTACGGTAACGGAAAGGCAGCTGATGCTTTGAAGCGCGCGGGCGTGACCGGCTAATTCGCTGCTATTTACAGGTCACTTTTCGTGGCAGGCGCAAGGGAAACCTCGTGTTTTGGTGCTCCCAAGTCGACTTTTCGTGACAGGTGCCAGGGATCGGATTTGTTTTACTTCGTGGCAGGTGCAGCACTTTGGACATGGCGGTGATCGTCGAGCAGCTCAGATTTCGTGACAGGTGCAGTGAATCGTGACTTTTGGACATATGGCTCGTTTGCAGATTTCGTGGCAGGCACAGCTGTTTTTGAACCTCGAAGTGCAGATTTCGTGGCAGGCACAGCACTTGGTGAACCTCGATGCGCAGCTTTCGTGGCAGGCACAGCATGGTGAACCTCGAAGTGCAGATTTCGTG